TCTTGAATTTTTTTTTTTGAAAATTGTTTTTTTAAAAATATTTTACTTGAACATATTAATCAAATATAATTTTTTGCATTTCAATAACTTGATAAAACATTTAGCAATAACAATCTGCTGGCAATAATGTAATGGACTAGAAGGATATTTACCTAAAGACCATTGTAAAATGAAATATTATTCTCAGGATCAAACTTAAAAATTATTATTGCTTAAGATGAGTTTGTTAGATTTGATAGAAATGTTTAACTGTAGTATGTATTATGCTGCTCAAGTGAAAATGTACTTATGTTTTCAATTGATTAATAAACTACGATCTAACCTGGCTATGGGTATTGCAAAAAAAATTTTTTTTAATTAAATATTACAATATTTTTAAAAATCTATATTAGAAAAAGAATTTTTTTAAAAGCTATGTATACTTGTAACTAAGCTTAACTGCCGCATCTGGAGAGATAAAACATAGCAAATATACTTAGGGAGGATCGACAGTGTATAGTATAATAATTTATAATTTTAAGAAAAAGAAGATAAGGGTCTAAATGAAATATTCTAGAAGTAAAATCAAGCATAATTTAGTTAAAATTATTTTTCTAATCTCATCTTTCTCTAGATTTTTTTTTAGATGTGAAAGGAGTTTTTTTTTTTTATAATTCTCAACAGTAGTTATTATAAATTTAATTTTTATTAATGAAATTATCTCTAATAAGAGATACGAACGGAGTAGGTTGTTTGTTACATGAAACCTTTACATGATGGAGGTCCGGAAAAGGAACCATCGTACTTCACTATGTCTAATCACAAAAACCCAAAAGGTAGGTGAAAAATATATTATTGAAACCAAAGACATATTTAAGAAATTTTACAAATCACATCACATCTGTTTAGAAACATCGCTGACTTAAATTAGCCGATTATGATGGCTAATATTTGTTCTTTTTGCTCTTTTTCTTCTCGGATTTAAGTAATTCATCAATATCCATAGAATCCATCGTCTTCTTTTCTCCCTCTTTCATCGATTTAGGAGTACCTTCTTCCGCTTTCTTTTCTTTCTTCTTCTTATCCGATTTTGGTGTTGCCGATGGCGTGTCATCTTTTTCCTTCTTGTCTTTCTTCTTTTTCTTCTTGTCCGATTTAGGGGTCTCCTCCTTCTTTCCCTTCGTCGGCGTTTCTTCTAAGGCGGGCGTTGCCTTTATCTGCTTCGGTGGTGTCACTTCGCGTAGATCTCTCGAGTCATTAACTTTCTCTTCAGGTTCAGATACCTGAGGTTTAACATCTCCATCTTTGTTCTTTTTGTCTTTCTTTTTTTTAGGGCTCACACTATCAATCTCTTTGTTCTTCTTACTTTGTTTGATAACTTCATCGGTACCCTTCTTCTTTCCTTTGTCAGATTTAGTTGTTTCTGCCTCCGCGTCATCCGATTGTGCTTTCGTTTTTTTGTGCTTTTTGGCCGAAGCGTCATCCGATGGCGCCTTACGTTTTCTTGAAGCGGATTTCTCTAATATTCGAATAGTCACGCCGATTAGAAAAAGGAGTACGATATTAATCACGTTTTGTGCACTATGATATTACCTTGATCTACTTCCATTGACTGATGTTCGATCTCTTTCAGCACTTTTTTCATTACATCTTCATTCTTAGAAGTAGCTGAACCGGTTTCATAAAATTGCAACCTTTCTTCGACTTGGTTTTTAAGTGCTTCCCCAAATTTTGAAGTAGGTATTTCTAGGTTAAGACGAACAATAATTTACGTTACAGCAATATCTCAAATATATGTACGATACGTATACTCTTCAAAAAACTTTCTCCTCATACCCGTAAAACAATCTATTCGAGAGGCAATAGTACATTTATTGGCCAAAAATCGCGAAATCCTTCCTTTATTTTTGGCACCCGCACGACCAATGAATGTGGAGTGATATATAAGACCATATTTTGGAGTATTTCCTTTGGTCTTAAGAGCTCTAAAATTTTTGAAGAAAAAAGAAGGGAATTAAAGTCGAAATTTTAGAATAACCTTCAGAATTGATAACATTAAAGGAAATACCATTGAAATTTTATTAATTACCTGAAAAGAGCCTTCTCGGCACCCAAAATCTGGACGGTAGAAGCCGGGTATTTAGAAAGATTTGTCAGACTTCCGGCATGCGAGATCAACCTGGCGCCAACAACCTCACCAATTAGTGCTGATAAATTTGGAGCTATGTTATTCATCTTTGATAATAGGTATTCGTGTAATTGTTTGCGATAGTTAGCTAGGTTGATAACACGGTCAGAAAAATGTTCGATATTTATCATATCCAAAGGAGAAATATCGGTTCCCATTGAAGTGCGTGCTGCGTCAATAATCTGCTTCGATTTGGACTCATCACCGGTTATTTCGGTAAGGTCGTCCAATTTGTCGTCTTTCAGGTTGCCCTTGTTTTGAATGAACTTGGCGAGTACCGAATACTGATAGTTATCGTTGATAATCTTCACAAGTTCCGGAAAATGCCAAGAGTACCATTCCCTACGGTATTAGTGCAAGATTACAAGGTGGAATTTTAATGACGCGCATAAAAAACAGTTCCGATCTGTGCCTACCTAACTCGCATAGCAAATGTGTTTATGTCTTTGTCCAATTGGTCTAACAAAGTTATCGCTTGTATAATCATATTGTCGGAACGATTAACGTTATATTTGACTTTTGCTCTGGAGTAACCGTGACCCAACCCAAGTTGCGACCTTACAATCTCTCCTTCTTTGAGTTGACTCAATAATTTATCGGCATGCAAGCGAATGCCCCGAATAAGCTCGAGAACGATTTCACTAGTCTCGCAATCATATCCTAATTCGGATTTGATGGCTCCTGCCAAATTTTTATCTATGACACCGAGAACAATTTTACTTTTCTTTCCTGGCTTTGGAAGATTCAATTCCAAAAATGACTTGAGGTAATCGTTCGCGATTCCTGGTTAAAGAAAAATGACCTTCTATATTATTATTACAATTGCGCGAATGATCGAGTTCGTGACCATTCGTTTTGAATAATACCTTCGGATATGTCATTTGCATTCTCCAAGGCATGAGCATAGCTCTTAAAGGGAACGAAAGACTTGACCTTCACTATTTTTCCGAATTTTGCCAGATCTTCGGTCGCTTTTTGAACCTTTTCAAGTTTAGAACCAATCTCCTCTGCTTGAAGGCATTCAAACAGGGAGTAGCCACAGGGAGTCTCAAATAGGACGTAATTCACCTGTAGGAAAAGGACTGATTAATTCGGGCTCAAATATTTCATGATTCGAACGGATCAAATAAATAGTGCTGGTAAATTTGAAACCATTGTCAGGCGATTAGGTTCTCGGTATTTTCGAGATTTTGTTGAAAAGATGCGAGAAAAAATTCAGATCGGGTTACACGAATTTTATGGAGAAAAAAATTTCAGATCAAGTTACACAGATTTTCATTTTGCCCATTCATTATCATATAAAGTATCTCGTATTTAGATGTTGACAAAAAACTGGCTTGCAAATAAAATTTTTCGGTTTGTTCGACACGATATATTTACCAGAGATTGTAGAGGTCGCATTGCTGATAATTTTATATTGAGATTATTATTATTATTATTTTTTTTAATTCAATTATTCATCAATCAATTTAAATTAGTGAGATATCCCGTTTCAATATATCTAAATCCATACGGAGAACGGTTAAAAGAAAGACGTTCGATGTCTCGGGAAGAATCAGAAATTGGCGTAGATGAAGAGTCGGAGATCGATGCTTTGCCAAATGCCAAAAAATTGAAGGTTTCCCCGGGAGATATTGTGAATGTGGATACGGATGTTAACGTTGGCCTTGCCGAAGGTCCGTCGACCATGTCGAACGCACTCGCGTCTTCTAATGTTAGTGATGTACGAGGTGATACAAACGACATAAGTAACAGAGAACGGGGGATGAGTTACCGGTTGCGAATCGAGAATATACCGAAATATGTGAATACCAAGACGATCAAAGATTTTCTGGAAAAAAATAATTGTGGAAAACTTCAAGTTAAAAAGGCGCCGAATTGGAGTTACTGCTATGCCCACCTTAAAGTAAATAGAAACAACCAAATGGATAGTTGAATTCTGGGTAATTTGATCGTTTTTTAGTTACCTTTAGTTCATTCGTAGTCGAGGGAGCAACAATTGGAGACGATTGAGAAATTAAAAGATGTGAAGTTCAAGAATAAACTAATTGTTGTGAAAGCAGATAACATAACGGAACAAGTGAGGGTGACACATTATTCAGCGAATGGTATTGAGCGCGGGTCACTTAAAAGATCGATTTTCAATGCGATGTAGGAGCGTCAAAACCTATTTAATACTAGAAAGAAGGCAGCTTTTTCAGACACAAATGAAGGCCAACAACGTTCGCCAGAAGAAATGCTTGCGGATCAGACAACGCCTTTGCATCGGTGAGGTATATCGATAACCATGTAGTCATCTTTTCAAACCATTTATCTAATTTATGTATACACATGAAGCCTTTCTTATCCCGAACAACTAAAGTCCAAGGAGAATGTCATCAAAGATGCACTTTCACATTTTCGTAAGAAGATTGAAGAATTGTCAAAAGATGGTCACCAACCAAATTGGATAGTCAAAGGGTAAATATTAGATTTGTTTTATTGTGTCCTATGTTTATCTAGGAAGACGACCTTTTGGTGAATTGACACATGCAAGCATATAGACCCGAATCTGATCTTCCGTGCGAGGTTTATCCGGTTATTCCTTCACCCATTCTCAAAGGTTATCGCAACAAGTGCGAATTCACAATCGGAAAAAATCTCGAGGGAGAGAAAACCGTTGGCTACCTATTAGGATCTTTCAAAAATGGATTTAATATTGTCGTGGTGACTATAAAATTTTTTCGACATAATAACCCCATTTCTAAGATATGGAAGGTTTACTGAAGTGTTTGGGAATGGTTAGGGGCCGGAGAAATCATTGAATTCCAGTGAGGCATCTATTAAGATTGCTATGGCAATGCAGGTATCATAATTTTTGGCCAGATTCTAGTGCGGAAATGATGTATTATGACAATGTGTCTGCTACAAGGATCATTCAATTCTTGAATTAACTAGGAATATGTTCGAAAATCAGACCTTGATGTATACGATCGTATGACAAAACAAGGTATATACGATCTGTGATTATGAATTTTCAATTTTAATTTCGAAAACAAATCTCCAGAGACTATTTAGGTAACTGGAGGCTGATTTGTGTCAGGTATCAAACTTGTGGTGATGGTAGGGTTACTGAATTTTTATGTGCATTGAACTTTGAATATCACATCATTTATCAGATATATCTTTTTAATCTTATCATTTCTAATGCAGTGATGATCATCGTTCAGCTTCATCCGCAAGGGTTGACCAAGGAAAGGATCGATCAAGAGAAGACTTCTTTGGCAGATTATTTTCAGTCATGCGCTGTGGAAGCACAGATTAATTTAAAATCGCTATTGGTGCAATCTTATGACGGAATTGGTAATGGCTTGTTCGACAAACATCCCTTAGAATGCGTGTACGGTACGCCCTTCATCCACGAGGAAATGATGGGTTGCAGGTTTGCCTTTGTTTCCCTTTTCGTTAAGCGTTAAGGGAATGTTTAGGTATTGTATAGCACATTAATAAATGCCTGTTTTTTATGTTCAAGGTTTCGCATATCTCCGCATGCCTTCTTCCAAACAAACACCAAAGCAGCACAAGTTTTATACGAGAAATGTGGAGAATTTATAAAAGACCTGTGCCATACTGACAGATCACCTCCGGTCCTGGTGGATATGTGCTGTGGAACTGGAACCATTGGAATTGCTTTGTCCAAAATATTGGGAAACAAAGTCGAGGAAATTATAGGAATAGAGATTTGTATGGAGGCCGTGGAAGACGCGAAGTTCAATGCGATGTCAAATGGTAGATTGCCTTTAATTCTCAATGAGGTCAATCACTTTACGACTAAAAATTCTGAGCTTTTTAATCGATAGAAATAAATAACACTCAATACATTCTTGGACCGGTCGAAGAGAATTTACGTTTCTTAAGCAAATTCAATAATGATGAAGCGGGAACAGTTATTGCGATAGTAGATCCACCTAGGTGCGAGCATTTGTATTACGAGATTGTTTTGCGAAATTTAGGTTACCTAGCATAAACCATTGCATCGATTTTATTAGGGCCGGTGTTCATAAGAGTGTCATCAAAGCTCTCAGGCAGTGTCGAGCTATTGATTACCTATTGTACATTTCGTGTGATTGTAATTTGGCAACACAAAATTTCATCGAGTAAGTTATCTTTCTTCAAACAGACACCCACTAAATCATTATAAATTGAACATCCTCCCTTTTTTCATTCCCATTTACATATGCACCTACATGAAGCCTTTGCAAACCTACAACCAAATCGTTCTCAGGTGTTCCGTTTAAGCCGGTCAGAGCCGTTGGGGTAGATCTTTTCCCACATGCCAAGCAAGTAGAACTATTGGTTGAATTTCATAGGGACCAGGATTAAGGTTAAGAATTATGATGATGGACCATTTTGCTAGTCCATTGTAATTTAAAGTAGCACAATTAATAAATCCTATTTTATTAATGATATTTTATTTGGAATTCCATTATTTATTTACTATCATTATATATATATATATATATATTTTTTTTTAAAAAAAAAAAAAAAGAGGGATCAATGTAACAGCTTTATTATTGAAAGTGTTTGTTCATTAGGAGAAATCCCTTCTTTAATCATTTGGTGGTAAACTTCTTTGGATTTGTCCCTCTTACCTACCTTAACCCAAGCACCAATTAGACTATTATAATTTTTGATGGTGGGTTCAATGTTCCTCTTTTTCATCTCTAAAAACATTTTCTCTGCATTTCCGGGCTCCCCCAACCTCGCATACCCCTCTATCAATATCCCGTAGCTGACGCTGTTAGGTGGGATATTCCTTCTCAGCATTTCCTCAAATACCTTTAGCGATAGGTTCATGTTTCTGTGTCGTAAAGCAAACGATCTTATGAATGTGGTAAAAGAATAGGAATTCACTTGCGGTTTTCGACCTAGATATGTTAAATTGTCCGTTTGTCTAAGAAAATTTTTAAAAATTTCGTGAGCATAAGTTACATCACGAGCCCTATCTAATCTATCCGACCACATCAAAGTGTCCAAAATATGCTGAGGGGTTTTTGCCGGTAAATTTTCGACACCATTTTCATCTGAATCTTTATTCATCGGCGAAGGAATCTCAACAACCTCTTTCAATAATGCCCTTAAAGTTGCCCTATGAGGTTTGATTCCTTCCCTGATCATCTCTTCGTAAACTTCATTGACCTTGTCTTTTCGACGAACCTGTATCCAAGCCTTAATTAGACTAGTATAACTGTAAACATTGGGTTTGATTGACAAACTTGATTTTAATGTTCGAAGTGTTTCCTCTGCCTTCTCTACCTCTCCTAGCATTGCATATCCATCGATTAGTATCGTGAAGGTGGCGACATCCGAACAAATTCCTCTGCACGACATATCTTTGAAAACCTCTTCAGCTCGTTTCATATCACCAAAGCCTTGTGCAAATTTTGAAATGAAGATGTTAAAAGAATTGGAATCCGGGAATAATCGGTTTTCTCCTTTGCTAGCATTATCGATGACTTCGAGAAATTCTTTATATATCTTATTTACCGAGTCGATGTCATGCGCTCTGGCAAGCCCATTCTTCCACATGATTGTTAACGGGTTGATGTTTGGTGTTAATTTGGGCCTTGGCGTAGACACGTCATTCTGATTCTCTGCCTGTGGTAATATTAGATTATCAAAAATTTTATTGAAGAGTTTCTCGGTACCTTGATAATCCTGTGCCTGGTAATGCAATTGCATCAGGCTGCTCCCAACATATTCATTCAATTCAACTCCTTGTTCTCTCATGTGATTATACATTCTCCAGGCACCCTCCTGATCCCCCGAATTAATATATCCGTTGATCATTATATTAAAGGTGTATATGTCGGGTTTAAACCCGGATCGGATGATCTCATGGTAAAAGCTATTTGCAGTCTTCATGTCTAATTTAAGAGTTGAATTATGTATTATTACGTTATACAATGAGATGTCGGGTTGAATTTTCAAATGTTTCATTATTTTAAATGTCTCCTCGGCCTTTTTGATCTCTTCATTGCGCATATATAGGTCGACCATTGTATTCAATATTTTATATGTCGGTCTCACTTTCATTGTTCTTAACATCGCATTGTACAGCCTACGCGCATTTTGCAAATCGTTCCGCCTAGCGAACCCCTGAATCAATACCAAATATGTTATTTTGTTGGGTTTTATTCCAAGTGCCTGCATTTTTTCGTAATACTCCATGGCCGTTGACATTTTCCCTTGGAGTACGCAGGTTTGTATGATCATGGTGTATGAGCGTGTGTTTGGGTGAATTCCATACTCCGGAATACTATGAAATAAGCGAGACATTTCACTGTAACTTCTGGATTCTTTCAGGAGAGCAAAAACTTTATTAATGAAAAATATATTGGGTTTGACTTCACCGTCGCACATATCCCTTAACACCGACATTGCCTCGCTGATCCATGAATTCTCGAGAAATTTCAATGTCAATTGCCTCTTATCATCAAAAGATACTTCGATCGAGTGCTCCTTGAATTGCTGATAAAGTTGAAAGGTGTCGTCCAGTCGCGAGGACTCTAAAGTGGAGTATTTTAGCAATTGATGAACAATGCGTTGATTCTTTCTTAGCAGATTGAGCGCTCGCGTCCTCGTCTCGAGATTATTTAAAAGTTTCGTCAACGTCTTCATGTTTTGCTTTTCCTGTACGGTAAGTTGGTTGCTAATATTCGCGTCGCCGTTCTCCGAACTGTCACAAAGGGTTTTCTTGATTTTTTGTTGGGAAGACATGGTCGATTTACGATTGATGCACCTTAGTTTCCTCGAGTGCAGATCAGCTCGTTCAAACCAGAATTCACCATTAATACCAAAGTGGTGCAATTGAGCAAGTATGTTATTGCATTTTCCGGTATAATAAAAAATCGAACGAATCCCAATAATTTTTTGTCGATTATGGTGATGGTGATATGTTGATGTGGAGGAAGGAGATGACAAAAAAGGCGATAGCAATAATTCGAAAGGCATTCGAAAGATTCTCATGCCTCCGAACTTCTTCATCAATGTTGACTACGAGAAAAAAAAAAAGGAGGATCTTCAATCGTTTTTTGTAAATTCCTCTACGTGCTTTTTATTGGTCGATACAAATTGTGAATGCCCACGTGGTAACCTCTATAAATTAGCCAGTCGATTTCATCATCCTTGATTTGATATTAAAAATGGCAAACAATCAAGACGATGACGGTGCGTAATGACTCGAATTAGAATTCGTTATTTGTCCAAAGTGAATTTCGATTCCTGCCCTATACCGAGAAAAATTGACTTTAAATTTAGGAAAAATCGACGTTTCTGGATTCGATGCATTGCTAAAACAATTCGATTCCTCAATCGGTATGCTACAAATCAAAACAAGATTTCGATTGAATTCTGGTTATTTTTGCTCATCTTCCACACCTTCCATTTTAACCATCTAGACATCGAGGATCGACTAATCGAAAATTTAGAATCTTTGATGTCCGGCCTTCGGGTTTGCAAATATGTAATAATTGATCAAGATTCTACGACGGAACGTAAGTCGGATGCGTGGTCGAGCGTAGCCAAAATCATGGAAATGTTCGCCAACTCGGCAAAGAAAGGTAGGCAGTTGATGTGTTTGCTCTATGATCCTTTCCCGCCGAGTTTAATTAATGTCTATGACACGCAGAAAAACCGCGAGATCCCCTTGGAGATGCCGGTGCCATCGAACTAATAGTAGAATTTATGTGTCTGAATGACACCCAATCTCATCCATCGGTCGATTTTCAATGTCTCAGAGCACTTGCGAACGTTTGCATTTCGAGTGGTGAGATAATATTATTCATGGGATTGCGATCGAAAATTTACGGCATTAATCATTTACTAATTATAATATCGTCAGACACAAATCGACGGAGAATTCTGGATTCCGGTGGCATCAACGCGTCCCTAGCGTGCATAAGAAAACAAAAGGATTTGGATGTCATAGGAGGAGCATGCGCTACACTGCTAAACGTTGGGATGAACTATGGTAGGCTATTCCGAATTTTTAATAATTGCGCGACATAAATGATTTTAATAGTAGCTTGGGGTTGAAAGATGATGCCAACATCAAAATTGTGGAGTCGGACGGTTTGATTGTAGTCGCTCACTTATTGGAACCGGAAAGCATTTTGGAACGATACGATGTGCATCTGGCTCGAAGGATCGTTTACTATGCCACACGTGTAATCATAAATTTAGTGGGAACAGGTTTGACAACTTTCAACTTCTTTCGCCGACACGAGTTCGCGTCGATTTTTATGAGTGATGAAATGAATATTCAAATCTATAGACGAAGGAAAGAAGAAAATCGCAGATAAAGATGTGGTTGCGTCTTTGGTGCATCTTCTATCATACGCATCATCAGAAAAGGCGACGATCGATGATGTGGATTTATTAGAAAATGTGGTGGAAATCTTGGAGATCACATCTCTTGATAATGGTAGTGGCTAAACAAATTCTTATCTACCTATGGTTTTACTTCCATACTGATGTTATCCTTTTGGTCCTTAAGATGAAATTCAACAAATTTTGGTACAAGATGGGTTATTTCCTGCTTTGTTGGATTTTTTAGAATTTTCTAGAGAGCCACAAGATCATGATGAGCGCATAGTTAAATCTTATGGCGAATGTAAGGCAGCAGTTTTGAAAATAGTCGTGGCCACGACGAGTAGTGGTAATTATCATTCCATTTACTTCTTGTTCGAATAGAAGTATCGTAGTGGGACCTATTGTAAGACAGAGAAAGCCTTTCATCGCTTTAACTAAATAATGATTCCTTCTATCCTTAGATAGAAACATGAACCCTTTGTTCGAAGATCCTGTAATACTTCGTCGCCTGCTCCACTGGATGAATTTAGGTCCAGAAAGGGATGATCTTCAGATGTGTGCTGCCCTGTCTTTGGGCAATCTCGCAAGGAGTGGTACGTTTCACGTTATCACCACAAGTAATCTTTTCATGGTTCGACGTGATTAATAGGAAGATACTTAAAATTGGTTTCTAATTTAAATAGATGCGCACTGCATAAAATTGGTACATGAATTTAAGGTAGCCGAACCTCTTGTAAATACCTTGAGGACTTCCGATAATGTCAAGGTGCAACATGCTATCGTCGGTATACTTAAAAATTTGTCGCTTCCAGGTACAATCATGAAATATTTGATCCTTTAATTCGATTCATGAAATTTGCATTTTTTTCAAAATAGCATTAACAGGCTTTTTTCTTTTTTTTTTTTTTTTAGCTCAAAATAAGGGTCTCATTGGATCTCTCTGCGTTATTGGACTTGCATCGCCGTTATTAGAAAAAGATGATGTTCAACCTATTCAATTAGGAGTTGTAGGGATCCTCAAAAATTTGGCCATCCAGAACGGTTTGTGATCAATTGGCCTGTGAGTCCATCCATCAAACATAATTTTTTTCTTTTTTTCTTTTTTTTTTTTGAACTAGTTTTATATTCTTTAGTGGTGAATTGCAAAAAAGTCATCTTAGGTGAGAACCCTGATGAACCCGAAAGACCGCTCACGCGTTTATTGGGTTTAATCAAGCGTACCGACCAAGTGGCAGTTAAAAGCGAAGGGACGCGCATTCTGTTCAACCTTATCAAAAGCGTTTGGGCTGAGAATCCGCATTCCGATTTAGGTAAGCGAAATGAGGTTTTATTTCGACAGTCTTGTGGTTGACGATCAAGATTCATTCTTTTCGTTAGAAGGAACACCTGTGAGTACCTTGCGTTCTGAATTAAACAGAAAGGAAGTAGTCCAACCTCTGACGAACATAATTACGGAATCCAAATATCCGATACTTCAAAATGAAGGAATAATGGCTTTAACATTATTGGTAATGGATGATTCTGCAGGCGGCGGAGGTAGTAACAATTTCAATCGCGTTCGCACACTCCATCATCAATCGGGCAATTTTTCTAAGCGTCGGTTTAAAATGTTTTCGATCGTTTCTGGTGAATGACAGATACCAATCCAACATTAAATGTCCTTACATCAGGCAGACAACAAATGGAGGGTAGAGTCATGGAGGAGGTTGGTGGTGAAACAGAATCGGAAATACTCGAAACTTTGGGTTCCGATCCTGCGGAATCTTTAACTATGCTTGAGGCGTTGCTTGGAATATTACAAGGCGGACAACAAGAGGAAATCAAGAGTAACGTCTGTTCGTTTCTTGAGAAGTCGGCAAGTGCGGCGAATAGAACTCGTGAGTGTCAATTCTAAAGCGCACTATTATCATCGCAGAATATTTGGTTTCATGACGTTCCACTGATGCCATCATTTCTTTTTATTAGAAAAACAACATCTTCAGAAAATAATAGTTCCAACCTTAAAATCATTATTATTAGGAATGAACCATGACAGTACGAGTAATAATGCACCAGAAAGTTTAAAAGACAGAATAGAAAGGGTTATTAAATGCTTTGACTAATTTTACTAATTTATCTCGAATGCTTTCTACATGTGTTTCTAAAAATTACGAGAATACTACAATTTATGCAGCTAGTTACCATAACTTTAATTATTTTTACAAAACCATTTATGTCACAAATTCGGTTTACAGTAAGTAACTAAGAATCTTCGAAACATACAGTAATTGCTCACGAGGATAATTATACCCTTAACCTCACCATAAAATACCTCTTTCACTACTGTATAAGGTGACATACATCTCCCTAGAATAAATATACAATAAAATACGAGAATATGATAGCAAAAAATTTCGTGTATATTGTCTCTCAAGCATTTGTTAAGCACAGATTGACAATAAATCCCGCCTATGTCATGTTTAGTCTAATCTCACGTATTTAAGAAGAGGTTTCTTTGGTTGAACTACCATGGTGGTGAAATCGCATTCGGGTAACTTTCCGGGCAGTTCAAACCTGAACGAACGTACAATGGTGGCAACTATTGTTTTGAGTTGCACATAGGCAAATGCCTCTCCGATACAACGGTGTCGACCTAAATTATTATCATTTTGGGGGTGGGAGGAATAGGAATGACCATAAAAAATTTATTCTTCGTCTTCACTTTTCAAAGCATTACCGCAATACTGAGGGATTTAGGAAAACCGATTTACCTGCACCAAATGGTAAAAATGGTGACTTTGCTTTGGCCATGTTGAGCGCTCCGAATCCGTAATCCACAAAATGATCATCCTGCGTCTTATTCTGCTGTTCGGGTATATTCCAACGATGGGGGTTAAATTTTTCCGCCTGCTCGAAATGTTGTTCCGATCTCGCCGAAATAGTCGGAACGCACTGAATGTAGGCACCCTCGGGAATCACGTAATCAGTTCCGGGAATCGGTAGATCCCTTAGAACCTTCCGAATTAGACAAAGAAGTGGTGAACGAAGTCGCAAAGTTTCACGTATAACGTTGTCATGCAGAGTGAGTTTCTTGAGTGCATCGAACGTAAGTGGAGCTTCCAACGACCCAAGAACCTCAATTTGTTCTTGACGCAATTGCTCAAAAAACTCTGGACTTTCGGCCAAGAAGAGGAGTGCCCAAGAGCTAGTGGTGGAACTAGTATGCTGTCCGGCCATCAACATCGCAATCATGATGTTCGCGGATTCTTCATCGGTTAGCTTTCTACCGCTTTTGTATTGGCACTCGGTGGTCAGGTATTGCATAATGTCAGTTCGATCTTTAACGTTGGATTCGCGACGGGATCTCATGATGTCCAAAAAGAAGTTATGCATCTTCATGTGAGCTTCGTCTCGAAGCTTGTTAGACGGGAGCGGTAAGTTTTCGAATAGAAAATTTATTGGTTGGAATCCGCCATCTAGGTCATGATATATTTGTGCGACTGTTAATAGATAAACGGGTGGAAGTGAATAAGGATGTGGTTGAATGAAAAAACACGATGAAAATTGAAACACATCAATCTACAGGATTCGTCTAATTTCGATCTAACTTCTTCTCCCAACAAACATCGAGAGGCAGTCATAATGATCAATTCGGACATGGCCTCAAAGATATTCTCGGTTGCCGACTTCTTATTCCACCGAGAAATAAAATTCTTGGTTTCCATCTCAATCATTGGCACGTATGCTCGCAAATTTTCCGCCGAAAGACCAGACTTTACGAACCTATAAAAGAAATAGTTCGTGACACGTCGTTCTTCCAAAATTGACGGACAGAGTATTGCTCACTTTTTTTGTTCCATCAAAATCGAATTATCCACATCGTACACTACCCCTTTACCAAAAACCGGCACAGTCAAAGATCGATACGCATCCTCGGCACAAGCTTCGGCAACCTTGACATTAAGCAAAAAGTTATTCCCCTCTGTGTCAAGACACGTGACTATTCTCCGACCCAGTAATATGTATGTGAAGTAATTGCCGTACTGAGGAACATGAACGTAAATGCGTTAAGCGGCGAAACATCATCACCTTTATAAAACAGAAGTAAATCGGCATTACCTTTGCCTGATTTTCTCTGTAGAATTTGATGGGATCCGTGCCCATTGCTACAGCTGAGCCAATATATGGTACCCGATAAGGAACAATCGGAGGTTCATTCGGACGTGGTCGTACGTACTAGAACAAGGGTTTAAAGTATAACTTAGAACTCCCTCCTGGGCCTCAAAAATCGAATCCTCTAAATTTTCGTCAACTTACTAAAACACTTTTCAACGCATATAAGAATACAATCGATGCAATTACTAAGATTGCACCGGTAAATAAAGTCGTGTGTGCCGAGAATTCTTTGAAATAAAGAGACAACAGGGCGTTTCGGCTGGCGACCGACTGTACTTGGTGGGCCAAAGGCGTCAAGTAAGAATTGTAGATTAAGTGTAACAATTTAGTCATTATTTGATCTGTGATCAATGTAAAAAAAGAAAAAAAGTATTTGATCGCGAGAAGGTAGTATCTCGTTTGTGATAGAAAGACGACAAGTCATCGAATTCTCGGTCGTTTATTTGCATAAGGGTTACACACTTTTACTCGTTTCTACTGTTTTAGTGATCGCAAATTTGGTTTAGAATAGGTGCAGGACGTCTATCTATTTGAGATATGACTTGTCTTTCCCGTTAATCGTTGATTGAGTTCAAAAGACAACGCATTTGATTATCACGAAAAGTGTAAAAAATTTTGGCGATAATTGAAAGTAGATAATTTTCTATTTTTTTTTTTCCTCGCAATCCTTCAATTCGTCACCGCATTGCCCCCAAAAAGATTTTTTTTTCTCTTGTTGCATTGAAATTTTTTTTGCCGTGTGCTGAATTCTAACCTCGTTTTCATTAATTGAACCAGCAAAGGTTAGCGATCATCTCCATACACGTGCATAATGCATTTCTTCAATTCACGTTTGCATTCTCCATTTAATTTCTTAGTGCCAATGGCGTGAAAGATACCTTATCCTTCGATCGCAGAATCGCGTGATTCAACGCGATCTTGTCATTGAACTTCCTGTACGGTACTAACGTGATCTCTTCATTTAATGGCATGATGTTTTAAATTCATTTAACGAGATGCCGAAAAAACTAAACGAATTGATTAAATTAATTACTATAACAATATAAAGAATTAATGATAATTCAATTTTTCAATATAAATTCTAGAATACAGTACAGTATATTGCTGCTTTTAATTTTTCCTTAAACTACAGTATATTGTCGATACAATGAATATCGAAAAATGATACGTGATATATATTTTAATCTTGACTGAAACAAGGATTTGAATAATGTAAACATTGATGTTTTTATTTTATTTTGAGCATATATTGTATTGTATGCATTTATTCTACTCGAGAGTCTATTGATTTTTTTCATTTGTTTTTAATCTTGGTTTGATAATGAGTTTGCAAGTTTCTAAAAATCAACGCACTATTGATTTGTCAAAGTTAAAATTTATAAAAAAAATATAATAAACGATTCCAAACTTTTACAAGTCACTGTATGTGTATAGTATTTTTTTTTTTTTTTATAAAAAAAAAAAAACTCACCGCTAGGCTAGTTGTGTATCTTTTATTAAACAATCGTAAACTGTATACGGAAAAATTAAATTAATGACTACCTCATCTTTCTTTATCAATCTTAACTCCACTCTTCAACTGTAAATATCTCTACCTTTAAGTCACTACTATAGATTCTTTATAAAAGTTTGATTAAAGACAAAATTTAATCATTAATACCTGTTCTTATTCAATTTTCAATAATCTTTATTATCTCTATATTTACTTTTCTTCTTTTTATGACATAAACTCGACCTTGTCTTTACATAAAATTTCTAGATTGCCTTCTTATTTTATTTTATATTTTTATTTTTAAATTGCAAAACAGGCATTAAATATAAGACTGCATCAATATATTTTTATCAATTATTATATCAACTATTCAATTATGTATATACTATACTAAGATTTATGGTTCAATAGTGCAATGGTTAGCATTTCATAGGTTAGATCACAAAATACATATTCAAATTCTTCAGGAGATTAATGTGATTTCTTTGAATAAACCAAAAAAAAAAAAAAAAAAAAAAAAAAAAAAAAAAAAAAAAAAAAAAAAAATCTATTGACCAAACAAAAAAATAAAAAATATTTTTAATATATTTATTGAATTATATAAAAATTGTGATCTGATCAAAAATATAAAATTAGATAAAATTCTAATCAAAACTCTGAATATAGATCCAATCATATTTATCAAAGTCATAATCCTTAAACAATACATCATTTATTTATGGATCCAAGATCAAAAAAAAAGGATCTTCTAATATCTTTTTAAAAGAAAAATTCAAATATATTCTTGAACAAGATACTTCTATAATTCTTTCTTTTTTTTATATCTTAAAAACTCTTTGAGAAAAGCAAGTGTCAGATAATTCTAAGATAGTAAACTATATTTAAGTTAAAAATCCTATTTTGAAAGAATACATGAATATTCAATTCACAATCACAATTAAAATCTCAAATAATACAAAAATTGAAATAGGTGACAAGGAACTAGAAACTAAACTTAAAATGAAAAATATCCAAAAAAAAGTTGAAGAAACAAATATAATTGAATAAATCTCTTACAATATATAAAACAAACTCAAGTCAACCAGTATCAATTTATTTTATATTTTAGAAAAAGGCAATATTAAGTAAGAATATTTATATTCAAGATATCAGGAAAAATGAAAAATGAGAGAATAGCTTATTTTCAAAGAATTTTGAGTTTATTTAAAGACATATAGTTATTTAAAAAAAATTTTAATGATAATATACAATATAAATAATTTTCAACTTTAACAAAATAGAAAATACTTTATAATGTATAAAAAAAATAAATAAAAGAAAGAAAAAATTTTTACTTCAATTTCTATATAAGTAAACAAATGAAAAAATTCATATTTTTTATTAAAAAAATTTTTTTAAACAAGAAAATAAGGAAGAAAACAAAATTATGGTTCTATATTAATCAATTTAAACTATAATTATATACAATAAAAAATAAAGTGACTCTTCAGACATATGGAAAAATATTAAATATTTATACTGTATATTTATTTTTATTTTCAAAAAAAAAGTTAAAGTATAATTTATTTTATATAAACCTAAAAACCTAAATAATAGATAGTTTATTCACATTAAAATTAAATCTTCAGAACTATTTAATCTAATATAAATCAAATAATTATAAAATAAATAATATTTTTAAAAATTATATATTTAGTCTTTACAATTATATAGTTATATAATACTTATACTAGTTTTATAACCCTTTCTATTCTGTCTTTTAAACTTTCTGGTGCATTATTACTCGTACTGTCATGGTTCATTCCTAATA